AATAGCTCTGCTATTTCTGCTGGTGCACTCAGTGTAGTTCAAACAAAATAAGAAGTCTTTCATACACAGAAATCTTTGAAGAAAATCTACTTTCTTACATGTTTTTTTAAATGCATCTTTTCCCACAACCTTAAGAGACATTTCTTCTCTACAGTTTCTTACAGATAGTGCATTTTTCTCTTCCACCTCAAAGCTGAGCCTCAATTGGGGTATTTACTTTTTCAACAAAGTAATAAATGACAGATCCCTGAAGTGATTTTCCAGTTGGTGTTAACATCACCCTCAATGAAACTGATTTAGATCCCTTTCTTTCCTACTACAATTCCAACACAAACAACATTCAATGCTTCTTTTAAAGCTTCCATACACGATATGAATTCACACAATACTGTAAGAAGCAAAATTCCCCAAAGCACTCCTGCACCTTTTTTTTCCTACAGCACTAACATTTGTGACTACCACAGAATATCAACAAGGCCTTTCTTAATTTTAAGCTCACATGCTTTTTCAAAAGGTGTATGAATTAAATAAGCCTTACACAAACACTTTGTTAGGGCTACTGTGATTTAAGCTACCTCCTGCCTGACTGCAGGTGAAGAAAAACAGACCTTGTGGCACACACCAAAGATCAATAAATCATGTGCTGTCAAACGAGGAGGAAAAGTTCTTACACCTATTTAAAATATCAAGAACATCTGCAAATAAATGAGGTATTAGAGAGTCAAATACAAAATGAAAAGACTAATGCATATCAAAGTTTTACTCTATTAAAACATTAATGAATATATTAACATGAGCACTAACCTAACAGAATCCTTTAAAGTGTTTTAAAAATAACCAACACAGCCTCATTATTTAGAATACTTAAAAACAGTCTGAAAAGCATATGCTAATAAAATTAGGGCTCAGAACCCTAATTTTAAGACATCAGACTATTCCATGATGGAATGTCCATACACACACACATGTACACACATACACACACACACTTTTTCACCAGGAAGCATAACCCTTTGTTCCCTAATCCCCAGTTGTATGTTTAATGATCACACATAAAACACTTCCATCCAACAGAAAAACCGCAGTTCCAGCATGTTTAATTCTTTGGAAATGAACATCTACATTGCTGAAATGGCATTAGAGTGACAAATGACTATAATCCAGTGGCCCAAGGCCAGCAACTTCTATTACAACAGATCTGGCTGTTTTGTACGACACAGCATGTTGCGTGTCGACCACTAAACAGAAACGAGACTGCTCAGTTTACCTATAAACAAAACCCCACTTAACTTTACAAGTGTTTTAGCAGCTACATGGATGGAAAAAGCAGTGTGTCTTAAGCAACTGCCTCCAAAAACTGGATTTATTAATAGGTAGATGGTTGGATCCATTCTAAAACGTCTCCAGATCAGTGCTATAGGCTAGAATGCACAGAATAAATAGCAGTGATTCACAAAACCTGTGGGTTTTAGTCTATTTGCATGCTTCCATATAGTTCCAAATTTAAGTTCTATGTCAGTTTTCCCAGACTTTCTTTTTTTAAGTCAAGCAACCCACATTCACCCAACTTTACTCTGCGTGGATTCACCATTCACATTTTAGAAAGGCAAATGATACCTCCTGGCTACCGAAACTCTCAGCTTCAGCTGCAGCCTGAATTCCCAAGATCACAGAATCCCTCAATAACTACTCACTCCACGGGCAAAAGGATGAACCCAGATCCTTCTAAGCAGTGAGAGCAGGGCTCAAAAAAACAGAGGGGGAGACAAATCCAGCTTCTTCAGCCCTTTAAAACCCAGGACAGCAACTGAGCAGCAGCTGCAGCAAGAGGATGCACTCGAACACCTCTCCCCAAATGCACCCACAGCAGTCCTTTTCCAGAGCCATCTTTTATTCTGTGTTCAGGGTGTCCCCCATATTTTCACAAACCTGACAGAATTCACACTGCCCTCCCCCCAGATGCTTCCTTCTGCCTGTAAGGACACTCCAACATCACCCACATGTGCCCAAGAAACTCACCCAGGTGCAGAACAACCAATTTTTAACACTATTTTAGAGACATCGATTTCCTAATCACCACAAACATCAGGCAATGCACTGCAAAGGCAGCACAGCACAAATGCCTGCAGAATGTTGCCTTTTTTTTTTCTTCTTCTAGAAACAGCTCTGGCTTAAGGGAACATCAAACTACACCCTGCCAGGGAGCAACCCTCCAAGCCGGCCATAAAAGAGGCCGTTTGCAGTGCAGTGTTTCAGGGAGTCGGGTTGCATGCCACGTTCCGAGTTCCAGTTCTTCTGGTTGCCAGGCCAGACACATCCTGGGTGAGGATGAGCAGCTCAGGAGCTTGTTCAGCTTTTTTTCTGAGCTCAAACCCGCCCAGTTCTCACTCCAGCCAGGTTTGGGGGCAATGCGGTACGTTTAAAATGGCACCGCGTTCATCTGACACCACGGTGATGGGGAAAGAACAAAACAAGCATAAATGATTCATTCTGCCATGGTATCCTTTCTTCTGCTTAACTTGTTTTCACAGGAATTCATAAATGATGCGCCTGTATTAATTCTCTCCATGAAAAACAACAGAAAAAGGGACTAAAACAACAGTTTACACAGTTCTGACAGTTTTACTCTTTCCAAACAGGGAAATAGTTTTTAAGCTGCTTTTTTTTTTTTCTTTAAGAGATTTTTAGCCGCCCTTGATGACAAATGGTTTTAACTAGATCAGCTTAACATCTTCAGTGTCATGTAGTGATACAGCAGGTTTACTTCTAGCTCACATTAAAAAAAGGGCAGATTTTGAATTTAGCCAGCACACACCCAGAAGACTGACAGCGACACTTAAATATCTCATTAAATGATTATGAAATAATGACATGGAACACAGAGGTACAAACCAGCGATACCTAAACCACGTTATCCTTCACTCCTGTGCTTGCTGACGAGCTGATCATCCAAAATTAATCCCCCTTTGGAAATATTTGATATGAGCATTTCATGATTCGCTTGTCACGACGCGCGAACCGACTGAGGAAATATTTCTGCCCGCCCTTACGTGATCCATCCATCGGCAGGAATCTGACTGTGCATTTTAGCTGTAAGAGCAGCAGCAGCATTTCCTTGAAGGCCTTTTCCTCTGTGTGTTACAAAAAATATCTCAATTATTGTACACCCAAATTACGGTGATATGGAAAAGCGACACGCTTTTGCCCACAACTCTGCATCGTGACACGAACACAATGACTCAATAATGTTATTTATCTTGTGCTCAGAACAGACAACTTTTAGCAAAACTCTTATTTTTCCTACTGATCTGCAACAGCACCGTTCTAAAATAAAGAGGAAAAATCCCACACTGCATCCCTGAACTTCTCTTCAGGCTTTTCAGCCAAAAGAGTCCAAAACACTGTTACCTTAATCCAGTATTACAGCACCATATTGTTCTAGAATTATTCATATAAATCCTAGACAGCACCTAAATAAACTGTTTAAATTTGGAAACAAAAAACCCCCACAAAAATAGGCTGCTTAGTGACATGAACAAAGTATGTGCAGCTAAAAGATATCTTACAGATATGCTTCCAAATTTTATATAAATTTACACAGTAATCCTCAGGAGACCCAAATATCTGCATTTACCTATAGAAGGAGTTGATTTAAAACAGCAGATGTTCAAGTTACTACTAAAGATGAATTTACAGTCTAGTTTTAATTTCAGCTCTGCAGCACTTCACTGTCAACTAAATTATCAGCTTCACGTGTTTTTGTTTCAAGGTCCACCAACATAATTAAGTACAGACAGAAAAATGTCCTTAATTCTTCTAAATCAAGAAAACAGCTGCAATGTAAACCCCAAAGCAATCAAACAGACCACAGGCACTGCTGAGGGGAGGGGAAAGTAAGGTGTGAAATGACCCTTGAGTTGGGCACTCAATCATTCTGATAAACCTGATCGTAATTATCAGTCATTAAGATAGTTAAAAAAAGTCCAAAAACTAAGTGAGTTTCCTCCACTTGAAGAGGAAAAGAAAGAAAACTTGAAGGATGCCAAATTTTCAATCAATTTCAAATTTTAAACAAACTCCAGAAATTGCAATGACCCTCAGAACAGCTACATAAACAAAATCACTCCCCTCTTGCTCTCCAATATAAATAAATGAAGCTGGACAAGAAGTGTCAATATAGTTTTCACCCATTACAAACTTTTGTTTATGGAACAATCCCTATCAGTGCTACCAGTGCTCAACTTCATTTGATGTGTACATTAAGTGCCTTCAGAAAATACAAAATTCAGAATAAAGCATCACCTTCTTCGAAATAACTTATATTTTATGAACTGTATTTTCTGTTATGAAAGACACGGATTCTTAACAAAATTATCTTTAACAGCCCCAAAGTTTTCTAAACTTTATTATTTGCTAAACGCAAAGTTGCACGAAGTCTTGCAAATAAACACCTCAGCGCTGCACACACTTTTCCTGACATTTCTGCTTTAAACCTTTCTGGGACGAAGAACCTTAGAGGGAAAAAGAAAGAGCGAAGTGAACCCATTCAATCATTTGCCCTAAGCACACACTGGATTAGCCCGGGAACCGAGCTGTAAACTTCCAGCGAGAAAACCACCACGGCTGCAGTTTTTTTCCCCACTCCGTGCACAAATCTCCCGGCCGGTTCAGCCAGTGGGATCCAGGGAATCCGCACACGCATCCCCGTGCACGGCGATCTTGCAACACTCAGCCCTTTGCACCCCGATGCGCCGGGGTTTAGCGAGTGTTTGGGCGGGGGGGAGGGGGGAGGATTACTTTACAAATCTCCTTATTCCCTTCTCGTTATAGAATCGCTCCTGTCTCTCCCCCCCTACCCCAAATAAAAAAGCGAACCCGCAGCCATGGGCTCTGTCCCAGCCACCCCCCGGCGGGGGCTCAGCACGATCCCCCCCCCCTCTCCCCGAGCCCCGGGCGTGGTGACTCCGACCACGGCGCGGGCCGCCCCTAGCCCTCCGGACCCCCGGGGTGGGAATCCGCCGGGGGGAGCGCCGGATCCGCCGCCCCCGCCGGGCCAGCGAGCGGCCCCACCGCGCTCGCGCACATTCAATGAACGTGCACAGATCGACCCTGGGCCTACTCCCGGCCACCATGCTCCCCCCACCCCGGGCCCGCCCCGCCGCCGGGAGCCCCGTGGGGTCCGGGCGCGTGCCGGCGGGGCGCCAGAGCGCGGGGTGCGGGCGGTGGCGGCTACCTGCGCGCCGATTGCCAGGGCCATGGCGGGCCCGCGTCCCCCGCCGGAGCTCGGTTCTGGTCCCGGCCGCCTCACCGCCGCCGCGCCCCGCCGCCGCCATCTTCTTCCTCGCACGCCACCAGGCCGGGCGGGCGCTCCGCGCGCCGCGCTCCGCGCATGCGCCGGCCCCGCCCGCCCGGCTCGCGCGCGACGCGGGGCGGGAGCGAGAGCGCGCTTGAGGGACGCGGGGGCGGGGAACCGCCCCGCTGAGGGGAGCGGGGAGGCGCCCGCGCGGGAAAGGGGGAGAGCGTCCCTAAAAACTTCCATGGAACCCCCCTCCATTGACATGGGACCGCCCCCCTGAGGGGAGCGGGGAGGCACCGCGCGGGAAAGAGGGAGGGGAGCCCAAAAAACTTCGATGGAAGCACCCTTCAGCATCTCTCTCACGAGGAGAGGCTGGGGGTGATGGGGTGTTTAGTCTGGAAAAGAGAAAGCTGAGAGGGGATCTCATAACTAAAAGATATATAAATATCTCCCAAAGCAGGTGTCAAGAGCAACATAGAATCAGGGAAGGGTTTGGGTTGGAAGGGACCTCAAAGATCATCTTGTTACAACGAGGAGAGGAGAGAGGAGAGGAGGAGATCCCATTATAAATAAAATATATATAAATATCTCCCAAGGCTGATGTCAAGAGCATAATAGAATCACGGGATGGTTTGGGTTGCAAGGGACCTCAAAGGTGATCTCGTTCCAACCCCCATCGCATGGGCAGGGATCCCACTTGCTAGCCCAGGTTGCTCCAAGCCCTGTCCAACCCAGCCTTGCACACTTCCAAGGATCGGGCAGCCACAGCTTCTCTGGGAAACCTGTGCCGGGATGGCTCCAGACTCTTTTTGGTGGTGCTCAGTGACAGGACCAGGAGCAAGGGACATAAACTAAAATACGAGAAGTTTTACCTCAACTTGAGGAAGAGCTTCTTTACGTTGAGGGTGGCAGAGCACTGGAACAGCTGCCCAGGGAGGTTGTGGACTCTCCCCCTCTGGAGACATTCCAAACCTACCTGGATGTGTTCCTGTGTCACCTGCTTCAGGTGACCCTGCCTCGGCAGGGCTGGGTGATCTCCAGAGGTCCCTTCCAACCCTAATGATTCTGTGTTTCTGTGATTAGGTCCAACCTGTGACCGATCACTACCACGTCAACTAGACCAGAGCAAAGAGTTTCACATCCAGTAATTTCTTGAACATCTCCAGGGATGGTGATTCCAACCCTGGGCAGCCCATTCCAATGTTTAATCACGTGAAGAAATTCCTCCTAATGTCCAGATTCTGCCTGTAAAAGGCCACATGCCCAGGGTCCCTCTGGCAGATGACAGGCTGTGTGCCCAGGTGATGCTGGTGTGAAGCTGTCCCACCTCTGTCCCAAATAACCAGGGTGGGAATGGGTTCAGCGTTGGTATCTGGAAAAAAAGGGAAAAAAAAAGAATGACTAAGCCAATCTCATGATTTTGAGAGGCCTGAGTCATAACAATACTGAAACCCCTAGGCAAGAATCCATTAAATTAACTGCTAATGTACTCCATATTTTTTTCCTTAAACAAACTATGAAGTTCTGCAAAAGTCTACTTTAGTTGGCAAATGTGAGAGAAAACTCAACATGAGTGTGACAGAAGAGAAGGAAGAAAAGAAGACAAAGAACTTTGTGTGTTTGGCTGTTCAGAGAGGAGGTTCGTGGAAAATGAGAAGATTCTTCCGTGTCTCCACGACAAGGACATTTCCCTCCTGTTTTGTGAAGTGCAACACTTACTGTGTGCTGATGACAGTAAATGATTTTCTCTATCAGCTTCTGCCCTTCCAGCTGACACACCCAGCGGCCGCTCCCTCGCTTTTGTCTCTCGCGAGTGTTGCTCCGCTGTCCTGAGGCAGAGAACCAGCAGTGAAAAGGGCTGCTTAATATTAAAAGAGAGAAACAAAAAAGAGAGACAAATGTACAGGCTTTTTGCATACAGCATTTCAAACGTCTGAAAGCCCCTCTCCCCTCGGGAGTCTAATTTACAAGGTAAATAATGGAGCGAAAACCCTTACGTGGCTCGACTGGTTGAAGGCAAAATTCCCTTCTGCCCACAATGCTGCCTAAGTAAACTGACTGCTTCGAAATACAAATGAGCACAGTGTCTCCAGCCTGGAAAGCACAAAATTCAAAGACCAGTACTGTTAAAAGCCAGAGCTGATGGGGAAAACTGAGGTGGGACGAAAGGATGTCACTGTCTCGTTCAGCAACATTTAAAACATCTTCAATTTTATCCCACCTTAACGTAATTTCATTGTAAAGTCTGTTAACACTTTACCATAATATTTTGTAATAATCTAAGTTTTCTTGTAATATCATGTTTTGATGAAACTTACCTGCTGCAAAGTTCCCACCTCTGTTCTGCTTTATTCCTTTTAGCCATTTTTAGTGGTCTTTGTTTCATTACTGCTTTCATTGCAGAAAGAAGTTTTATTTTCTTCCATCCTTTATGCTGTGAATTATCGCTCCCAAACATGTTGCTTTTCCAAATCAAAAATAACCGGTGCTGTGGGTTTTTTCTGTGTATCCATCTTATGACTGCATATCCAGTCTCAAGAACCATGGAGTAATGTTCCTAACGACATGGAACTGACTTTATTTGTGAATTTATCTACAACAGTCCATGGCTGTGGAAATAAAGGGTTGTCTAACAGCAGCCAGAGAGCTGGATAAACCACTCCCAAGGTAGCTGCCTCTCAGGTGCTACTGTAATTGCTCTTATCCTACTGTCAATGCAAAGTGCTTGGGAATGGCTTGCCCTTCCACGCCACGCTCCGCGTGATTTCACCAGGTCATGAGACCTGTGCTCATGACAGCGCCCAGAAGGTGAAGGTGAAAGACTTTTGAGCACATTTTAGGATGACTTTTGAGGATTTGAAGCACTCAGAACCCTCACCTCCACTTTTTCAGGGAATGCCTTCCCATAGCACTGCAGAAAATGGTTGATGGCTGCGGGAGGTTTTGTGCTGAGATTCCTGCCAGTGCCAAGAGCTACAGGAGCTCTGAAGACTTTTTCTTTAGAGATGCAGAAGTTTTATCCCAATAGCTTCTAGGTACAATAAGGGCTTTGCCTACATGAAGTATTTGCAAGCAGCAGTCACCTCCCCTGGCTGGATCTCAGGGAGGATCAGTTGGCTCTAAAAATATGATATTTTAAGTCTTTAGTAGATCATGTGAATGCTTGGCTCAGTGCGTTATGTGTTTCAATTATCAATTTTGACTAATTAACTGTGACTTATTCATCCCTATCTTAAATACAAGTCTCCTCTCTCCTTATGCAATCATCTCTTAGTGCTGCAGCCTCAAAAGAACCAGCAAAGCTGCACCTCACCTTCCCCTCGTGTTCTGTCACCAAACCCATCACGATGAAAACAAAGGCACGTTTTTTTCCCAAGCTACTCTGAGTTCCAGAAGGAACTAAAAAATGTGTGTGGTATCAATAAACCTGTGGCTGAGCTGTGTGTCCCTCACTTAGGAGAAGAGTTACCAGTAAGGAGGAAACTGTAAGTAGCTGGAGCTCACCCGTGCTCAGACTCACACAGCGCGGTGGCAGAACCCCTCCATCTGCCCTGACCTGGTCCCTGAGACAACTCAAAGTTCATGAAGGAATAATTAGCACCTCCCTCATTATCGCATTCATGAGAACTGAAATAGGACAAGAAGCTGAAATAAAATAATACATAAAGCTTGTCACACCAGTTGTTTTTTTTTGCCACCCCATAGAAGTTTCTCACTGGTCAGAGCTTCGCTAAGATCAACAGAAGAATCACAATTTGAATCTGGGCTTGTTTTCTGCAAGTTAAATTGTTTTCAGAAAGAGCACTAAAGGTTAAATTATTTCTTTACATTCCCTTGACACACGACCCCTTTTTTGCTGGCACGCAAGAATATGGAATCCTAAACAGCACACGGAAAATCACCAGCCTTTGGAAGAAAGCAGCCTGATCTCTGATGGGGAAAGACAGACACAGGCACATTTTTCTCAACTTAAGATTTCAACTTGAGAACAAAAATATTTCCAGCTTCTTTCTCAAGCCTTCAAAACAACTGCATCTCACACCACGGTGTAATTTTTCCTCAGGGTATGTTGAGGGATTTATGTAATCTAACGACAGAGTTCCAGGCAGCAGCTCCTTGATGTGTCCATGCCAAGATACAGGGCATGGAAGTGTGGGAAGAGAAAACCTGAGGGTTTTGGTAGCTGTTTTGTTTCAGGTAAAACAAGCTTTTCTCAGAATTTGGCAATGGGAGCCTTTGTAAAAATGAGGTAGAGCAGTAGTCATTTTTCCTCGGGGCAGGAAGAAAGAGCTGTGCTTCCTGGCAAGGGTAAAATGCTTTACAAAGCTTAGGGATGAAGGCAGTGGGATGTGCAGGTGCAGGAGCCAGGCTGGCTCCCTAAGAGCACAGACCAGGATACACCTTTCCTCTGCTGATCCTAATTACTGTTCAGACCTCAAAAAGCAGAGCAGAAACCCACTCGTGTCACACATCTGTGCAGAATTCCAGCACACCAGTTTCCCAAAGCAGTTCAGCAGTTATCTCCCAGCCCCGTGTGCTACCTGCCAACACTTCCCCAGGGATGATAAGCCATGTCTGGGTACACAACATCCAAAATCCAGGGGCACTCTGCCAGACTGTGCCTTGAGCAGTGCTCACTGCCCTGGGCCCTGGAGGTGCAAATGGGAATCATTTGTTCCTTCAATAATGGAAAAATCTTATGGCAACAACAGGTACGATCCCCCAGTGACCTCTAATAACACATGAGATGTCCCACACTCACCCACAGCCTCTGGTTTTGAAGGGACCATACAGACACAGGGGAAACAAAGCTTGCTTTGATGGGTACTGAAAATACCTTTTGTCAATGCAATTAAGTTTAATGTCAGGAAGTCATAACTGTGTTTATCTACTCCCCATTAAACACCATCTTTGAAACCACTCCACAAACTGGATTTGGTCTTTTTTCATAGCTGTAAAAAGGCAAAAAGTAATTTCATAGTATCACAGAATGGTTTGGGTTGGAAGAGACTTTAAAGCTCATCCTGTGTCCTGTTC